TCACTGTGATTTTAAATATTGCAGGCTGCTGGTCACCTCACGGAACTTATGGCAGCAGAATTTGGCCAGGTCATTATTCATGGAGGGAGAAAAAGGGAACTTAACTTTTATCCGTGTTTTTATGACATGCTGGATACTCCACTTAGGCAACTATCTAAGGGCAAACACTTTAACCCCTTGAGATCTGCTAATCAGGAGCACCAGCTGTTAAGTGCCAGCGTGCATCCTGCATTCATGCCTGCAGGGAGAGAAAGGGTTGCAAAGGATATGACCCTAAACTTCAGAAACCGCTTCTCTCCTTGGGGGCAAAATATCATTCAGCTTGCATCTTCTCTTGTTTTCCTTTAGTTTATCCAGTTAATGTTCCTGATGTGGGTTGTTGTGCACTCACTGTGAATGCTTCAAGCCTTTTGGAAGATGATAGTTAATTACTGAAGTTAAAATCTGGCTTGCACTGGTGTGGAAGTACTTTCAGAGGTATTTACTCAGCGAGCTCACTGAGCTGCTAAGGGAAGGGGAAGGCTGGTACTATCTGGCTCACAATGAATTACTGCAAATGCATGTTCTGTTTTTTAAAAAAAGCACATTGCACAGTCATTTTTCACAATAGTGCTGGTACAATATTAGATCAGTCTCACACTAACTTACATTCGTACATTCATTTAAAACAAGCAATGAAATCCATTGTGTAAAAACCTGTCACAAACACCAACCAAATTTATTCCCTGCAGAGTAAAATACAGTCAAAAGGTGAAAAGGCAGTTCTTTATTGTTTAAATGCTGCTTCTTTTATCCCTCCCTTTAGTTTCTGAAACCAGTAGCACTGTTAAGCAGACAGATATGTATTGATGGGGAGAAAAGATAGAAAATATTGCCTTTTTGACATATTTTGTGTTCTCTTTTACAAATATCAATGCTCTCCAGACTAGTATTTTTAACCCTTCCTCTAGATTATTTCTTGTATGACAATAAATTGACATCTGCATTTATTACTGGACTTCATAATTTACTAGCCTGAGAAAAACACTTCCAATAACGGGATATCCATGGAATCAGTGGATTGAGTTCTTCCAGCTTTTACTATAAACCACTGCATCAAATGTACTTTATATGTGGGTTTTCCAGATAAGCAATGTTTAAATACCTTAGCAGCGTGTGGATGTTTCGTAGCCATCTCAGTAAGAGCATGACTTGACTCCAATGTCCTGAGAAGCAATATCCCTCTCTCCCAATGTCACGTAGCATATGCTGTATTTTTTGTCACCTGAAAAGGCTCAAAAGCATAAATAAAATGTAATTGGTTACTATGGAATGTTATGCCATACTGCTGTACTCTCAGCTTAAAGAGAAAGACTGAGCGTGGCAAAGAAGGTGTTGAATTTGTGTCAGATTTCAGCAAAATAATTCCAAAGGGAGTTGAAAGATCACGATGCACTTAAACACTGAGCTTTTCTCACCTGTAAAGGCAGGTTGGGTTCAGACCTCCCTTTGTGCCTTGAAAATCTCTTCCTTTGTCTGTCTCTGTCACCGGAAAACTTTCTACAGGCTATCGCACACATCAGTGGAAGTGAGCTGAATCTACATGGTATAACAGCAGTCTAGCCTAAGCTTGAAGAGAAAAAAAGCCCTCATCACAAAATGAGATTTAATAGGGGACTAGCAATATGCATATTTAAACACATTTGTTTTAGCCACAATAAGGGAATAGCTGCAGAACATGTAGACGCAGAGGAGGAAGAGAGGTTTACTCATGTAGACAGAAAACAAGTCATGCTGGCTTTATCCTATGCCATTGATTTCATCCCTTTTCCTTTTCTTATTCCAAGATATTTTTCTTCCAAAACAGAATCCTGTCTTTGCAGCGCTAAGCTTTGTTGACCAGTCTCTCTAAGTACTTAGGTAGTTCCCATCACGATAGTATCCAAGGCATTCAGAGGTGGAAAAAAGGGGGTAGCAGACCACTCCATATCTCTGCTTTGGATTGTCTCTAACCCCCTGGCATCTCAACAAGACACTTGATTTGGGCAAAATCATACTTCCCTCTCCTTTTCCTTTTAATTACCTATGACTGAGGATGTCAGAAGTGCTTTTGGGTGACCTGCTGATCACAACCCATGGGTTGGGGGACACTAATCAACAAAAACTGACATTTCAGGGACTTTACTAACAAAACACTTCAGAACAAGCTTCCCATTAAGCACACCAGCCCACTAGGACTGTTCTTATGTTCCATTGCAAGCATATGCTTTGCTGATTTGCTAGATCAGGAATTTTTGATCAAGTGTAGTTCATACTATTAGTCATGTCATTCCCTTAATGATGATAAAAAGGCAAGTGTCAGTTCACTAGTAACTGCCTGCAATCTGCATCACAGAAATGGACAAATTAACTCTTTCAAAGGTAAGCTCAGAAGCCTGTCTGGCCATTAAGGAGTGTTATTATGCCTTGTCATGAACCTTTTTCCTTTTTGTCCTGAGGCTACAGTAATTTCCAATAAAGACCATCCCTCACTGGTGGGGCGACATATATGTTCACAGCCATGTAGCACTCGAGCCTGCCAGCTCCAGTGGGAGGATCTCCTGGTTCATCCTTGCAGCACACAGCTCAGAGGACAGCTCAGGACAGTGGTTAACTTCGTGCATGGATGACAGTGTCTTAAATTTTTCTCATATCTTAATTTCTGAGAGTTGCTCTGATGTTGAGCCAAAATGCTACTGGGACATTTTATTTCCTGGTAATCAAATGAAGCTACAAGTAAGGCTGTAAAGCATGTGCAGTACTCACACAGATCTGGTCCCATGGATATCTGTGGTGAAACAGGAAAATCCCACCTAACTGCACATTTATGTGTGAGAATAAACACAGAAATGAGCTACTGTCTTACACCAGTGTTAGGGTTTGCAGCGAGAGTACCTTTACTGATGCTTTCCAGGTGAATTGCCACTGGAAAACCTGCAACAGATTTAAGTTATAATTATTGTCACTATTATCAGATTTTACAGCATATGTAAGTATGTATTGCTTTACTCTGTTGTAAGAAGATTTTGGGTTTTTTTAATTTTAAAATATAATTTTTTTTTTCAAAGCCCATCCCTGTAAATCCCAGTGGTTGGAGAGGGCGGGGAGCAGGGAACAAAAGTCCTACATACAATACCCCAACCCCTGGCAATTAGCAAAACTATCTGTCAGATAACCTTTCTAAGTTGTCACTATTTTATTTACTGAATTAATTAATTTCATTTCTGATACAGCTGAAGAACATATTTTCATTGATATGAAGAACATATTGCAAGTCAATTATTCTTGTAGAGCCAACGTTATTTTAAATTATCTTTTCATATCTTTTATCAAGGATACCAAATGAAATCGTTCACTATTAGTTACTTTTCTGAATTTTTTAAAAGGTGGTGCTGAGCTATAAAGTTGAGTTGGGTAAGTGAGGAGGTGAATGATGTTTACATTGACATGAACCCAATTACGGTTAGACAAGCCCCTAAATTACAAGAGTTGTAGAAAGAGTGATAAGCATTGGGTCCAATTTTAAAAATCCAGTTCTGAGGACTAAACAAGTATGTTTCCAGATGTATGCAAGTTACCTATTGCAGGAACAATGCTTTAGGTGCATGGCCCACGAGTTGGCCACTGAGACACCTGTGAATAGTTGGCCATATTTAAATGCCTCCAGAAGGAAGTCGCGACTGGCACAGGCTGGGCCAGGAAGTTCCTAGGGCCAGACAATGGAAAATGGTTGTCAAATTGCACATCCAAGGGCCACAGTCTTCTTCAGAGCTGAGTATCCTTTAAAATAGAAGCAGATTGCAGAATTGTAGCCAATCACTGCCCTTGATAAACCATCTCATGACAAAAGTGAATGTACAAAAGAGGAGAGACCTGAGGTCAGCATCTTTCCAAGCTTCTCAAGCTACAAACCCACATCTGCCCTAGGAGAACGCGTGGCCAACCAGCGCAGCAGGGAATAGTGGAGCGGAGATGGAGGTACACTTGAGCTAGGATGACCCTTTGCCCATCTGCCTGATCTTTAGCACCATGAGATGTTCTTGTAAGATGCAGAAGAGAACAGATGCACGAAAGCCAAATTCTGTAGCTGAACTTTTCAGCTCGAAGGATTTCCAACCAGTCTTGGAGCTCATACAGGAAGGACCAAAATCCTGATTTCCCCTCAATCCCTCCAAAAAACATTATCAGATTAGGCCCTTAAGGAAAATGAGGAGGGTGGTCTTGAAATGTCTTACACTAGAGGAAACTGAGGAGGAAATCAGTATCTCCCTGCCCCCTTCAGTTCTCTAGTCTTATTATAAGAAAGGGAAGAGGCCTGAGGACTTGCTTTGATCTCCATGTCCTGAAAGAAAGCACCTCCGTGTGCACAGAGGAAGGGAACTGTTGGGCTGTCTGTGTCTGTCATCTGTGTCCTGGTGCTCCTGATCATTACGCAGCAGCCATATCCAGAATCCCAAAGTATAACCTAAAGAAAGTGCCTTAGATTTTCCAGATGAAACAGTGATGACACAGCAAGATAGTCTGGCAGGTCCTGAACAAGGGAGCCATGGACAGGTTTTCTGGATCTCAACTGCAAGTGACAAAAGCTCACCTAAACCTTGTTTTTACGGAGTTAATTCTTTGTGTGGTTCAGGCCCTTAATTCAGTGCATACTCTTAGAATTGACAAAGGGACACCCAGTGGCCTTGCCATGACAGACCCTTAGGTTCTGCAAAATATATTCTGCTCTAGGGGAAGAGACATTTTTAAGAATTTGTTTTTCTTTGGCTTCTCTTAAATTAATGTTAGTAAAAGGTGCCCCAACCTCTTATTTTTCGATATGAACACAAAAATTGCAGCTGCCTGCCAAATCTGCTGAGAGATGGATGTAATAATTTTCAATTGGACTGTTAGCCCAAAGGGAACCTGATAGCAAGAGATTGACAGATGCAGCATGGATTATCTTGTGCTCTGAACTCAGCCCAATTTGTGGTTTGTTGCAGGTGCTAAAGAGATTGATATTGCTGCTACCCTGGAGCACTTGAGGGACCAGAGACCAGGCATGGTCCAGACAAAGGTACTGTCAATAAATCCACTGGGATTTTAAATACATTAAAGGTCTTTCACAGTAGTTGTTTTCATGACAGAAGAGAGAGGGTATGACCTAATTTAACGCAGGTCGCTTGCTGATTACTGTTTGGCTCCCTACCAACTGAGGTTTATTTATGCTGAAGATTTATCTAGGTTACTTTCTTTAGTGTTTACTGTTCTTTCTTGTAACATCTCCAACATCTATCTTGATTACCATATATGAAGGGCAGTCAAGACAACAATCTATAGCGTGCTAAAGAAAATGTGCATTTGAAAGAATGTTCTTGTTTCATCCTGAACTATGGATTATTTGCTTAGACTCTCTGTGCTTAACTGTGCATGTAATATTTTTTTTAAAGCTTCTATTCATGAAAGAGAATGTAACTGCTGCATTTGATTTTTTTTATGGGGAAAAAAACCCCAGAAGTTTTAAGTTAAAGGAAATAAAGTTTTGTAGGAAATCTAGTAAATTTTAGTATCTTTGAATGGAAGAAGCTTACATCGTGCCTTGTCCTTTGTGGATGTAACACGGAAACTATGTTTGTACCCTTTGGTGAGGTGAATGTCTTACTCTCTAATTCCTGTCAGTTGTAATAGTTTTGACATTTTTCCACAATGTAAAACTTTTAAAGATAGCTGATAGTGTGATTGTAGTCCCTTAAATTAGAAATGAAACTTACTATTATTAACAATTCCAGTGTTGTATGGAATGATATTTTACAGTATTTGCTGCAAGAGCTGCAAATATGTCAATAAAGAAACTTGTTCCTGGCATGGAGACCAAATAAATCTGTTTATGACATTATAAAATATCAAATGGTAGTTATAGTCCCGAACTGAGTAGCAATGTGACAGCACTCTGTCTTGGCCAAGCTGGAACTGACAGGAATTTCTACATCATTTAGGGAGCTGAAATTGCTGAGGGGCAAAGGTAAAATAAATGTGCTGCAGAAATCAACATCACTTTCATAACTTTTCCTGAATCTCTTCCCAATAATTCTATTTTCCCACTAATACGAGGAGAAATAGTGCTGAAGAACAGCTGGGGGAACGTTAATTATTATTTACCAGTTTAGTAAGTGCATGAAAAATAAAGATAAGCCAGTGAAAGCTAACTAAGCTTTATCTGCAGGTAAGACAAGAAAATCACACAAATCGTTCTTCTGCTTTGATTATTCAGACTGAAAAAAAAATGCAAATAGCACACAGTATTCAATGTCATATATATTTACTCTGAGAGAAGATACAAGTCCTGGACTACTCTGTAAATGCCTCCAAAATATATAGCAGCTCTGTAGCAACATAGAGCTCAGATTCCAGTTTCTTTTTCAGAGCAGAGAAATTATGGCTTGTTGCCTTCAGCAGAAGAAAAAACATCACTCCAGAACCAAAGAATGAGGTTATGTGAACAACTTCTCTTACTTAGCTCAGCAATAGTTACCCTAGTTCCATGAAAATGTCCCTTAAGACATGTTTTTTTCCCTCCAAACATCTGTCTGGAAGAGCTCCAGAAAAAAAATGTATCCTGTGTTTTCATCCAGGATGAAAAATTTTCTCAGGATATTGCTTATCTCTCCTCTTGCTCCTTCTTCCATCATTGTCATTTTCTCAAAACCACCCAAATCACTTATTCAAGCTAATGTCTTGCAAATTATAAATATCTGGTTACATGCTAGCAATGCACGATCCCCAGAGAATTTTTCTGATGGATTTAAACAAACCCCTGTGCTTTCCCAACTGAATACAAATAAGGAATATTAGACTCTTGGAGTAATTTAAAACGATGGATTAAAAGTCAGGTTAGAAATGCCAATTAGAGAATATCCCCAGGCAAAATAAACATCAACTTCCTTCAGCAATGTTATTGTGTTTCCAGCAGGCAGCGCTCCACATTTCCAGTAGGCATAGGAAAGATTTGTTTGCAGCATTTTGTCTTCTGGAAGGGATCTTTAATTCAAAAGCATTGTATATAATAAATTCTAATGAAATTATCAGAACAACATTCTGCATTTCTGGGAAGCACAATAGAGGGTTTGTGGGTTTGTGGAATTTTTTTTGCAGAGGAATCATAAAATAGAATTGATATGCTACATGTGAGAGGAAAAAGTAATGAAGGAGGAAGTGTATTCTCTGTGATGGGAAAAATATATATTTCCTTTTTCTCCTCTCTCCTTCTATATCCTTCCTCTCACAACCTGTAATATCAGCTAGATTCTTTATTGTATCATATGCTACATGTACCCAGTTTGTTTTCCTGTGAATTTTTATTTGTAGACTTAATGAAATATAGCTTATTATTTTTTATTAAGTATAGTCTTGTCACCTCTGCATTATAGGCGGACTGACACCACCGAATGCCCGTCCAGCTCAGTTTTCTAGGCAAAACTAGATGTTAAAATTCATGTCCAGAGAACCTTGTATACGCCAATAGCGTATGTGAATGGCAGTGTAGCTGTACAGACCAACAAACTGAGCTCCTTGAAAAATTGCTCTGTGTTCATCCTCGTGGAAGAGTGTGGAAGGTGTGTAAAGGCTTTTCCTTGGACACTGATGACATACATCAATGAAAACTGCACTCTGTGTGTTTTGCCTGTGTGTATTATGCAGAAGGATGGAGGGGGAAGAGCTCATCTGCACCATCCCAGAAAGGCCACGTCCCCACACATCTCGTGTCTGCTCTACTGCAGTCCCCTTTACTGCAGTGTTTCATTGTCAGTTTTGAGCTCTGGACATAAAGATCACACTTTGTAAGTTGTTTTGCCTCAGCCATTAAGGTCCCATCTGAGGTCTGCTGGTAGTCTCCACTGAATTTGTCTCCAAAATCCATACTGAGTTCCTGTTGCTCAGTCCACAGTCCCTCGGCGAGACAGACACTCTTGCTCGGGGGTGCAATGATGCCCTGTGCTCACATCAGGGGTGACTGGAGGGTGACCTCCTTGAGGGGTCAGCTGGTCTCCAGCTTGACAGATCATCATAATAAGGTGAACACATCCTGAACCTACAAGCTTAAAGGGCAGATTTGCTGAGTGAGTTACTTTAGAGCAATACAAGTTATTTTCAGCAATGGGACTAATAATAAAGTCTTATAGTACTCGATCTTACAAGGTTTTCCTGGCTGTGGTATACTCAGATGAAGAATACCTTACGTAGCCTCATTACCATGGGGACCTTCCCTCATTCTAAACTGATTCTCACATCCTGAAAGAGGCCCCTGCTCATCTCTGGAACTTGACTGCATCACTGTGTCAGCCCCATCGTGTTCCGATCACCTTCTTCTGTTGTTGTCCTCCCCGTTTTCCAAGGACTGGCACGGTGGGGGCCAGCTGTCCCACTCAGAACTGAGTGCCAGCATTCCAGGACCACCTGCTTGGTTCCTCTCCTGCCAGCCTCACCACAAGGGTCTCCTACTCTGCCCAGGCTGCTCCACAGGTCTCTTATCTCACAGGGCTGCATCAGTGGGGTCCAGTGACTCCTGCCTTCTCCTGCAAAGTTCTCTCTCCCTGATGTACTTCTCATGCATTAGCCTCAATGTCTTGAAGCCTTTTGAGCTGGTACTAGCTCCCAGTTTGGTTCTGGCGCAGCATGGCCACTGGCATGTCCTCTCTGCCCCTGCTACCCTCCAACTCCTCTCACACATTCACTGTGCTCTGGTTAAAACACAACTGCATGGCCACCTGCATGGCCACCAGCATTCCCAGCCTTTTCTTTAATTGCAGAGACCTTACGCCATGCAGGGAGCCATAGGCAGTCAGATACACCATTTTCAGGGCTAGTGAGAATGAGTCCTACTCTTTAGGGTGAATTGATGTCTGATTAAAAACTGTTGGCTGCAGTCCAGCAAATGTACATGGATGCCACTTTGACAGCACCAAGCAGAAAGCAAAGTTCTCAAATGTCATCATCGCTCAGAAATTATTCTGAGTTTTTATTTCTTTTTCTGCCTTGGCACTGTACCCATCATTGCTTCTCTGAAGTGTCTTCACATGGGAAATGATTCTGCATAGAGGTGAGACAAGGCAGAGAAGACTAGCACTGGATTGCAGGAATTGGAAGTCAGCTGCCTTTCTGAACTGTGAGTTGCACACCTGTAGTTTGTTCTTTCATCCTCTGTGCAGATTTCTGCAGGAAAGTGAAACACCATGGAAAATGAACACTATTAGTCCAGTAATCACCTCTGGGGGCTGTCTGTGTTCTGCAACCATGCCACACAGCCCCTGGCAGCACAAACTGAGGGGCTAGAAGTACCGGACCACCAGTTTTCTAATGGAAGGTACAAACAGCAGTGATCCTGGGATGTTTTTAGGGTGTATCTCAGACCCCCATTCCCAAAGTCCATTCTTCAGCAGCTTGACTCCAGCTATCTTAAAACTCTGGAGTACTTCTAGAAAATCAGAAATGCCTCCACCGTCCTTACCTGGTGTCTTTGATTTGCCTATCATTTGAGTAAACTCCTCATTGAAAAGTTGCAAACTCCAAATCATTCAGTGAGAGATTTCAGTAAGCTAAAATACCGAGAAAAATTTCTTGCTTGAAAAATATAACATCTGTTAACCTTGAAGATTTAACACTCCTTTGTCCTTCTGTAGGACTACAGAGTTCAGGAGCAAGTTAGGTTTGCACTTAGAAGTAGCAACCATTCATGGCTGTGTCCTTCACACCTCTGCCAGCCCAGCACAGAAGCCTGTCAATCATTTTGATGCTGTGGTTACAGTAAATTAATAACAGCAAAAAGCTTTCCAAGTATTTATTATATAGGAGTGGTCTAAACACCGTTGAGTAATTTGTGGGTGTGGAAAGGCCATTAAAAATAGAGGCTTAAAAAGATCAGTGACAGGTAAGCCAAAAAGCAGATATTGTTCTCTATAATAGATATAAGGTGAGGAGATATTTATTCTAGACTGTTTCAACTAAAAAGAGTCCTAGGAAAAGCCAAAGCCTCTGCTTTGCAGCATCTCACTTATTGCGTGTCTCAATTATATTAACGAGTTCCCATTTCTGTGTCAGAAGTAAATGGCTGGTGATCAGCTACTCCCAAACCCTTCTGACCACGCAATGGCAATACATCAATTGTGTCCCAATAGCTTATGTTCTGCTTCTAACATTTTTCTCCATTAAAATTACTCCGGCTTCAAGATGCTGTCAAACATGTTATATGACATCAATAATCCCAGAACATTTTGTTCTTTTCCATTGCAGTGCACAGTTCATCCTGCATATTCATAATTTTAACAATGTCTTGAGGATGTTCAGCTCTGGAATAGTACACCCGGCTTTTGGAAAGTGTTTTGTTTTATTAATCAGAGTTTGTGTTTGTTCTCTCTGCAGGAGCAGTTTGAGTTTGCGCTGACAGCAGTTGCAGAGGAAGTGAATGCAATACTCAAGGCCCTTCCCCAGTGAGCAGCTCAGTCTCCTGAAGACTCCTGCAGAATCCATCCCTCGTTTTCCTCATCCTCAGTCCCTGTGAATGTTCTTGGAAACCGTGACCTGACCTTAACTGTGTATCTTCTGTTGTAACCACATAGTGATAGGGTCCTTACAAACTCCTTTAGCTGGTAAAAGTTCAACAGTTAAAATGTGTATTCTGTTTTTTGGGGTTTTAAACAAATTTTTAAAAGTACATCAGAGCCTCGGATTAAGTGACAGAACAATCCATCTAATTCCTTTCACATCCTTGAAGCCCTGAATATCACACTTTGAAAGCACACATTCATGTTCTTAGTAGCAAATATACGATATTGTGGGTAATTAGTGCAGTCAATATAGTCGCAGAAAACAGTGTTCTGTTATATTTGTAACTTCTCAAAAGCCGAATAAGAGGGAGGGCCTGAAGAGGATGGTGATTGTTCCCATACAATGCCAAGCTGGAGCATGAAACAGTGCTGAGGGTGTGAGTAAACACAGGTCCAGGAGGCTCTGGCAAGGAAAGCTTGCACCTTCTCATGCCAGGCTTTGGCAAGCAAATGTTTTCTTAGCTGTTGTTTACTTTTCAGCTTTGTGCCATGAGAGGAAGAAAATCTGAACCATAAATAAAACAGGCTTGCACAGTTATTGCAACTGGGGAGGTCATTTTGGTCACATTAATGGGAAGCTGGGGGATAACAAGCACAACAGCTCTTACCATGTACCTACCACTGACAGCATGGAAAACAGGGGGTAGACTCCCCTCAGGTGATGAGAAAGGCCCTGTCAGCAATCAGGTAACTGTCTGGAGCTGTTATGAAAACGGATTGTTGGTTTTATGGGATTACTGAGGAAGAAAATGGGACTCTCCTCTTTATATTTTTGCATTTCCCTCTGTAAAGTTCTGCAGTGCCACCCTTTTTAGCCAGGAAAATATATTTCTGTAAAAGCCTGGCTGAAGGAGAAATCTCGTATCTGCGTTTTATGATTCTCATTGAATTTGTCTGATCCAGAAGTTCATTGCAGCTTTCTGCAGAGACTCTGCTTGCTCCTTGTTCTGAATGATACCTATTTTAATTAAGCATGAAGGGGTAAAGCAACACACAGGTTGAATTTCAGAGACTCTTGTGTTCTCAAGATCCTCATGCCTCCTGCTGAAAAGTAATGCTAAAATATGTCTGTAAATGGTTTGGTTTATGGAATCTTGCTTCTGTGAATTCACAGGTTTAGTTGTGGCACTCTTCTTAAGGAATTTAAATTATTGATAGAAAGTACTCTGATATGTTTGAATGAAGGGCCTGAGAGTAAAATTATTGAAGGTACCTAAGTGATCTAGGCTCTTAATGAATACTTGGATGCTTTTTCATATGTTATCCTACATCTCCATGACTTAAGAATCTGGGGTGCTTTTTTTTCCAAAATCTTAAGTGTGTTGTGTGCTTGAAACCATATTAGGCTAATTGTTTAACTTCAGCGCTGGAAAATATATCATTGAATTTAATTTGGGAAGGGGACACTTTTATAAACTTCTAATCAATGAAATGTAAAAGATAACAGTATCACAGAGTTTTGCTGGCACAGAGGTAATGGGCATCTATTGAAATCAACCATGTTGCAATTTTGTGTCGTAGGTGTGGATATTGGTGATTTCTTCTTTTTAGCAATTAAAGTTACTAAAAAAAAAAAGCAGAAGGCTTGTAACTTTTTGCCATACATTTTTGTATGCTTTACTTGATGTGTGCTGTTGCTTAATTTGTGCATCCCATTACTATAGCAGTGCAGAGCAGTTACTGCAGATGCCATCATCCTCTTAAGTACACATACTGTACATTAAGCCACATGTTTATTTTATGGCCTAAGCATTTTAGAGCTTTCCTAGCAATAACTAAAAAAACTAATGGAGTATAAATGAGAAAATTGCCTTTTTCATTTGATAATTTAGGTTTAACAGGATTCTTTTATTACTTTAGCTAACACAAAATTGCAGATCAGGGCAGATGAGATCGGTTTGAGCCGTATCAGCAAGTGTTTGAAGTAGATTTACTGTGAGCCATGTACTGCAGCTTTCTGAAAATACAGGTAGTTGTATGCAAACAAACTGTCCAAAGAATCAAAATTGGGGCATCCTAACAAGGCCTCTGATTATCGGGCAGAATTGTTTCCCCGTGCGAGATGCTGTGCCATTACCTGCTGCCAATGGACTAATGGGTTTTTAGCTCAGATTTCTGCCCTGGGATTCATTAGTGTTCGCCTTCTGACTGTCCCTGTGCATACCACAAACATGCCTGACGAGCCTTTCGTTTGCACTTCAGGAATATTTTTTAATTGTTCTTTTGCAAATATTTGCATTTCGTAATAGCAATTTCAGGGTGATCCCTATTAATTCACAAGCAGCTGAGTGTGGGACTTAAATATTTCTCTTCATGCTTCGGAGTTTATTTAGCGTAGATTAGAGGGCATTAATCTTCCCCAAGGCTAATGGGGCAGGAATGTATTGTTTTATTCATACTTGTAGGCCAGTTTACATAACAGAAAGATGCAGTCTTACTCAGAGGGTTAGAGTATCTCCCACTGACCGTCATTGACAATCCTGCTATTTCAGCCATGTTTTGTACAGTTCTTCCACAAAGAGGTGCCAGGCTTATTTTGTTGACTGTAAACGATCACACAGAGTATTTTGTCTGTGCATAGCACACTGTTCACACCTCTCAATAAAAATACCATGTTTCTGGGGGTGATAATCTGCTGCAGGGTCAATTAGCGAAACGCAGGTTTCAGTCGCACCACGGCAATCCAGGGGGGTTTGATAATCCATTCCCCAGGAAGATGCCAAAGCCATGGATGAAGCCACAAAGATGGCTCTGCCACACAGGGCAGGTATTTGCTTTCACTGCAGTTAACTTAATCCTTGTGATCTGTCAAAGGATGATGTTCATACCAACACCCTATCACTTAACCTGACAGTGAACATGGGGTGGGTCCCATGTCCAGTGTGAGCTGAGTTTCTACCTTAAAACCAGAATCACCTGAGAGCCTGAAGTCAAATGAGACCCACTATCTTTCCCTGTTCAATATTCTGCTTGATCTTTAGTAAACTCATTGCAATTGAAGCTTGGACAGGTGCCTGATGCGTGGCCATAAACAGCATGTGTTTAACATTGACCGTCCTCGCGTTCTTGATAAAGACAAATTGAATGTACAGGTCCTGTTTGTGTGGTTGAATCTTTAAATGACATTTAAGGGGGTGAGCTGCAGGAGGGTGATTTAACCCCACTGCTCACAGTTTCCTTCCTCGCTGGTCAGAGGGAGAAAACCCTGTTTTCCAGCTCACGCAGCTGCTGTCCCCGAGCAGGACAGTGACCTGACCAGACCTCGGGCTTGTGTAGTCACAGCGTGTCCAGGTATGTGGGATGGAGACATGGTTCACCACCGTTGATAGTTCACAGGAGTAACAGCACAGTTGCTCTCTCCAGCCTTCGCCCTTCCCATGATATGGGTCGGGACTTAAAGGGATGGAGGGGCAGGGCAGCACCGTTCCCCAAATCCCAGATCCTCGAGGTTCAGCCCTAGCCACAGGGAAAACAGTGTGGGGTTTGCTATTGGCTTCATATGTTTCAGGTGTGAGCTCTAACCATTGCTGTTGGCCATTGTTGGTGGGACCTGGTGCAGCCCAGGTAATATCCAGTGCAAGTCCTTGGCAATTGTAAGGGCCAAGAATTAATTTCAGCAGAAAATCACATATCCAAATCTCAATGCAGCAGCAAAACAAGCAAGATTATTTTTATACAAGCTTCTAAACATTTAAAACATTTAAAAATATTTTTAAAATCTACACCCATGACTAAACCTTGTCCCTGTCTCTAGCATGCATGCAGAACCAATCCCCATCCATCCCCAGGGGAATGACAGCTATAGTACCTGTAAGGAGTTCATGCTTTATTAGTCAAGTGGAACATTAATAAAACCTGGCCCACTTCATAATTTCCAGAATAGTCATTAATTAAAAAAGCTGTTTATTGGAATAGAAAACAAGTATTTGATTAGCTTTGTTACAGAACAATAGCTCTCCTAATTTTTATTCTGCATATTTTATTCTTTCTTTAGAAAATTCTCTTAAGAAGCATTTGAGATAATTCGCTTTTTAAAACTGTACAGTTTCTATGGGTTTGCTTTTTAAATGAGAGTATACTTTGTAGATTTGATTATTGTATTTTTCTGTTAAGATTACATTGGGCATTACAAAAGCATTCCCCACCACAGTGAAAAGAAAGCAATCCTGTTGGTTTATTGTAAAAGAAAAAAAATAATTAAAACAAAATTGCAGAGCTGTGGCATACTCAATCCAATTAGAGCATGACTCTTTACTACTCTTCATTTACCACATGAGAAAAAAAATAAAGTTACACCAGCAAGATTTCATTTGAAGCTGTTCATGCATGCTATTTGTACTGTATTTGATGGCATAATATTGTTTTGTTTACAACCTTTTCTTTCTTGTCATTCTATTATATTCTTTGTATGTATATAGTTTAAAAAAAAAAGATTATACAAAGTATTTTGTTCTACCTCTGTAAAAATCATATTTGTGAATAAAGTCACATTGTCTGTGGATTATAGTATTGTGAATACAGCATTAACAGCTGGTGCTTTGCTTTTATTTGGGGGGGTGGGAGCAGTGCCAATGCCTCTTGCTGGAGAGGTGGATTTTGACTATCCAAGTTGGGAATGTGGGGCTGACAGAGAAGGGCACAAATGCCCTGCTGAGCGCTTAGAGATGCAGGTTTAATCTGCTCTGAGAAAGGATTTCAGCCACCTCTGGCTTGGGTGTGTGGCCTGTAATATTGCACCTTCCAGGGTTTTGATCAAGGCAGACTCCTGTGTTCAGGCCAGAAGGCGAAGCAGGCTAAAGAATGGCTAAGTTAAAGTGACCGTCCTTGTACAACTGGCAAGTGAAAAAAAATTGGTCTGTGGTGTGTGTGATAGAGTGTACAAGTTAAAAAATGGGTTAAATGGTATTCACTTTCAGGAAAATTAAAGGCAGGAAAATGTTTTGGGGCGGGAAAGGCTGGTGGATCAGAGCATCACAAAATGGCCAAGGATTTGTAGTTTTAAAATAGTAGCAGGATTCATAAAAGGATTTGAACAGGTAATGGAAAATACTCATTATATTAAATAAGGTTAAGAGGAATAAAGTTGAAGGTTCCTGGACAAGCACAGCATAAAATAAACAGTCTTTTCCCTGGGGGATGGGAAGTCATTTTCCCATTAGCACTGGCCATTATATGAAGGTTTGTACCTCCCATGAAATATCTATTGTTTGCTGTCATCAGAGCAGTCTTTGGGATTACACAGCCCTGGTATGGCAGTTTTCTCATGGTCTTGCAATATGTGTTAAAATTTCACTTATGTTTTGAAGAAGACTTAAAATATTTTGCCACTTACCTGGAAATAACTAGAAAAACATAAAGAGGAAGGTAAAACCGTCCTGGTCCAGCTCACATCCTTCCCATCAGAAGAATCACATTTTACATTCTTTAACCTTGTTTATGTAGTTGCATGTTTTAATATCTATGCCTTTCTCAGTGTAAGAAGGTGACTTTCATCTTGGAAGCAAAATATATGCACCATTATAGCTATTTTCCTGTTGGTGTAATTTAGGTCTTTCATCTCCAAGATAGCTTTCTGAAACCTCTGGTAACATCAGATGAAGGACAAAAAGAGAAATGCATTTAACTGTATAACTACTAGATCATTATGAATCTTCAAGACAAACACAAAAGCCATCAGTTGTGCATACATTGACTCATGCAGGCAGTGCTTGCTTTGTTTTCATGCTGCACAGGTACACAGCTCCCCGGTGTTCCAGCTGTAGGACAGTGTCTCAGCTCTGCCAAGGGACACCACTTTGTCACTGTTAGTCTTGGGGTTGAATTTATATGGTTCTAGCTTATTATCAGTATGGCAGACTGGGTGTTGGCTTCTGCTGGGGCTTGGGAAAGAGCTGGGTTTGAGTGTCAGCCTGGAGCACCCCCAGCAGACTTGAATTCTCCTGCTGCACAGCCCATGAGGTGATAACACTCCTCCCTCCTCTAAGCCTGAGCTGCTCATGCTTTTCGGGAAGCAGGAAGACACAGCACTCAGTAAACGGGGTCAGAAGGAAAGAGCTGCCCATCTGCTATGCTGCTTGGTGCCAGCCCAAAAGGGAGTCTGGCTAGTGCTCCCAAGTGAACTACTGCAGCCCCATGTAGAGTGTAAAAGCCAGGAACTTTTCCAGTTGCCCACAATTCCTCAGGATTTTATTTTTAGAACTTATTGTAAAACTTAAGTGTTGGTGGGGCAGATATTTCTGTTTTGAATGCTGAGCAAAGACTACACACCCACAGGGAAGGGTAACTGCTAGGCTGGGTTTAGTCTTGGTTTGTGCATAGAATCTTTCAAGAACAGTGTGCTTGAAACAGCTGAGTCCTTGGGGAAATTCTTACTGCAATGAAGTTAAGTCAAAAATTAATTTCTCCCCTTGAGAATGCAGCAGTTATCCCCCCACATGCAGGTAAATCAGCAATACAGGTAAAAGACTCAGCATTGATGACCAACCAGGGAGATTCAGACTTAAGTATGGTTTGGGCTATATTGCCCTACATCAGACTTTTCTTGTAGGAATTTTGACCAGAGCTCTCAAAGATATAGGAGGGTGTTATTCCATCTTTTCCAGCATATATTACAGGTGGGTTTCATCTCAACCAGACTCTGAGCAGCTTTTGCGTGGACTTCTACAGACGAACAACTCATCACAAGCTTCCTCTATAGTCAATGAAGAAAAATAAGCATTTTTAGGGTGTGAATTATCTAGTTTGGCTGTCCACTTCAACATAAGGTTATTCATCCAATCCCCCCCCTCACTCTGAAACAGGGAGCACCAAAATTTAACCATGTGCTAGGTAGAAAAGCATTTCTTTTCTGTATTGTAAACCTATTCCCTCGTAACTATATTGGATCACTTGGGAGAAAAAAGAAAGTGATTTCTGATTGTATAGACCTTGAATTTATAGACTTCCTTATCCTATTCCTCCTTAGTTTCTCCTGTTCCACATAGAAGACTCATTTCTCCCCTTACAGAAGCTGTCCTGTGCCTTTGATCACCCTTCACCTTAATTTGCCCAATTCTGTTTCTGCTATGCTCTGAGGTACACAGGGCCCAGGCTGTGGTCCACTGTCACACAGTGATGTTTTTATATTTTTTCCTTTTCTTTCGAATGTCTAACATTTTGTTGCCCTTCTCCACTACTGAACACTGAAGAGGTGCTCACAGACCACCTTCATTCACACTAAATCCTTTTCTTCAGGCCGTCATTGTGTCTTTATTTTTAGAGATGTGTATTTTATGCTGTACATTAGTTTGTGTTTATCACCAGTGATCTCATCTGCATCTTCACAGTCCTAGATTATCACAAGGTCTCTCCATGATGTTTCATAGCTACTTTTGTTTTCATAACCCTAGATAATATGTGTCATTCACACTCAGCCACCTCACTATCATCTCCTCTTTTTTAACATGGTTTATATTTGGGAATCACTACAAAACCAGTACCTTTCTTCACAGATCTTTCTTATGTTTTAATCACTCATTAAACCACAAAAAACCTTACTCTGAATCCACTGGCTACTCAGTTTCTGTAAGAATCTTTCATGAGACAGCCTTTGCCAAATGGTTTCAAGAAAACCAAATACACAATATCACCTACATCAGCACACTCACTGGTTCCTTCAAAGCCTCTTAGTAGGCTTTTGAGGCACAACTTCCCCCTGCAAAAGCTATGTTGCTCCCCTCCCCTTTACACCATCAGTTATGTAGGATCTAGACACAAGGGGGTGGATGCAGCTTATAGAGTAAGACACCTACTAAAATAGCTTTGGTATCCTTTTGCAATCAGTGGAGAACTACTAAATAGGCTTTAAATGGAACTATAGAGCTCATCTAGTGCAACCCCCAGGCAACACAGCACTTGGAGCACATGGCTCAGGTCATTTCAGGAAAACTTTTGAGTATCTCCACAGATGAAGACTACTCTTGGTCCTCTTAGTGAAAAACATCTTTTGAAGACCTATTTGAAATTTCCCTTGATGCAGATTGGTTCCCAATCAGCTCCCCAAAAGAAAGTGCCCACACTTGTACAGACAAATCCCTCTCTAGGCTTCACTACCAAGGTTGTCATTTACTTTAGAGGACACTAAGGCATGGGGCACACATGGAAGCATTTATATTTAAGTGTCTTAATCCATGAGCTGAATCCCACACTCTGGGCAGGATTCAATGTTTGTTGGTAAGTTTTGGAAGACACTGCATGTGCTATGGGTACCCTGCCTGGCCTCTGGCACTCACGCTGAATGGCTGAGAGCCTGAGGGCTTGTGTTTTGTTTGCCAACCCTGTGCTGATGGCTTAAATCCCCTGAAGTGCCTCATATGATGTTGGATGCCAAATCATGTGTCTAGCAGTTGGATTCTGTAGCTTCTACCAAAATTCAAGGAGGGAATTTCAGAGAACAGCAGTTTCCCAGATAACCCACCACTCCTAAAGGGGCAGCAGCTTCTGAAAACCCTGCCATCAGTACTGGATTCAAGGCAGGGCTGTGAATTCAGCAGCAGACAGCACTGACTGAGTGTATGCCAAGCCTGGTCATGAGGTACTGCAATGACCACAGTAGGGCACAACTGGAGAACAGCCCCTATGCTGGGTAGCATTTAATGGCTTTGTGCACCTCACAGCTGGTGACAGCACTGTGTGGGATGATAGGCACTGCTGCTTTCCAGCACGAGAGGGGAAAAAAGGGAAAACTGGCCAAAACCTTGAGTTTATGTAAAAAAAAAAACCTAGTAAACAGCAGTGTTCTAGCAGCATTTGTTTCTAAACATGGCTTCCACTTCCTTCACACAGGAAGTCTGATTAATTTTCCAGCAGGTTTCATTTGTGTTGTCCAAATTAGAAATGTTTGTTCCTGCATGTAGATATTACGATAGAGAGTGAGTATGAGCAAGACCAGTTCTTGTGGTGTTACTGATGTTACACCTAATCTGTTGGGCAGAAGCCAAAGAGGACCCACAGCTTTGTGATCCTGATAAAAGCATTGCCAAGGTTGAAAGGAAGCCAGTGCTTTTGTAAGTTGCTGAAGGGGAAAAAAAAACCTACCGCTTTTTCCAGAATTACCTTTTGATTATTTATACATTTCTTTCCATGAGCAGGAATACATATTGCTTTTTGAAAAGGGAGATTGATTTAACATCTGGCGTGTCTAGCCGTGCATGGTTGAAGGAGCCGGATAAGCGACCTGACTTAGTGAGGTGTTCCTTAGAGAACAGAAGGTCTTTAGCATTGACTTTCTTATCTGTTCTACTGTTCATTCTAAGTAGGGCCTGCATTTTTATTTTATTTTATTTAAATAAGGTAATATAGAAGCTGAAGTAACAAGCTGGGATCTATTAGGATTAATCTGAAATTAATTACACATCTGCCCATCCCATCCATTTCCATTGCAAAGACCCTCAAGATAGGCAATGGAGCCAAACTGTGCTCCTAAGCAGTTAGGTAGGATTTGGACTTCCTTAAAGTTATAGCATTGAATGCTGAACTTTTT